AAAGATAGTGTCGGTAGACATATGATGTCACATAGTGATGAGAAACTGCACTGTTCTGTGTGCAATAAAAGCTTTTCCCATTATATGATATAAGACGTCACATGCAGACTCATGACAGTGATAGGCCCAGATTTAACTGCACTGCATGCGATAAAGCATTCGTGACGGATTATTATAGAAAAAAACACATGGAGAATTGCGTGCAGAATGAGCTGACAAACACATTTTAAGCAGAAATACGCATTGCTATTCCTTGTATTGTTGTATTTTCTATGAGTTAAATTCATTTTTCTTTATTGTATTGTTAACATTTCATTGCTTCATATGTATATTAGCATTGTTCCTTTAAGATTTCTTTATTATTTCTCTTGTCTTAGTGAATAAAATTTCCCGCTTTGTGCCTACTTGCATCTTGCTAAGGAGCCTTTTCATTATTAATGCATATATGGCAAGCAAATAACTTACATTCCGTGCATGAAAAACTTGCAATTGATTGCAATTAACTGTAAACGATGTCTAACAATATGGAGGTGAATTTTTGGCAACGAAAAGGCTTTTCTTAATCACAACAGTGTCATTTCATAAGGTGACCATCTGTTTCGTTTGTCAACTCACATGGAAAGTCCCATTGGAGACAATAGGCATTTAAATTATGTCATTTGCAAGTAACATTTCATTCGGTTGATAATCCATCCCAATTACAATCTCATTCCAATGAGTTGCCGAATGGTTGACTTGCACTGAATGAACATTTCAAATCGGTGACAGTTCTGAGGCGACCGAGAAAAAAATCACAGCGTCAAAATCTTTTTATGGTCTTGTGAGAGAAAATATAATCAAAGGACATGATTTGGAGAAATACGTTAATACTAATATGCATGACAACAGGTTGCTATTCACAGTCCTTTTCAGTGTTCTTCTGATGTTTGGTTTTTAGAATTCTGAGAATCATAAAAAATGCTTTGTTAGCTGTTTAGTGAATATATCAAAAATAAGAATCTAATATGTCAGGACTACCTCATTAATTTTTATGTCATTAAGACATTAGTCAGGTATTCTCGGCTCAGCTTGCTTGCTTGTATCTTCACTATATTTAATAGATATTGTTCCTGTGACACTTTCCTTAAGGTCAGTTTTCATTTCGAGTAAAGCTATCCCAATGAGAAATAGTAACTTTATGATTTTTTATTAGATGTTATTTGAAGATGTCATAACTCACTGCTTATGCAATTGCTTAAATATCTTTTCTGTAATAAAATTACCACATTTGATTTGGCCTTAAATTCAATGAATGAGCACTGATGAGAGTGAAATGTTGGATTAATTGAGTAATATGACGATGCGTAGCACCGCTGATTTAGTGATGGATTCTATTTTATTATTTTATCACTTTTCTTTTCTCCATAATTTTCTGCATCTATTTTTTTCTTTTTTTTTTTTATAAAACATTTCAACCGACGATTCTTTTGAATATAACATTTCTGTGTTAAATTTTTTTTAATCAAAGCTGCCTATGTTAGAATTTCCATAGTTCAAAAATTTCATGAAGTGGAATTTGATATGAAATCCAAAGCAGTCATAATGTGACAATTATTAACCATTGAAATTAGAGTGCTTTATTTGACAAAGGATAGACAAGAATGAAATATTTCATTGAAAATATGCGTTGACTTGAAATTCCTCTTTGTTTATAAAATAGATCAAATTGGTTAATATTGAACACTAGTATAATTCTGAGGTCATTTCTAGGGTCACAAGAATTATTATTATTAGAGAACATAAATACAATGGACACACAATATTTAGCTTACATTGCACAATATATTTACACATACAATGCATATTATACTATCAGAATGAAAGTAATTATTGATTCACTGCTTCTCCTCGAGATTTCAGTGACAACACCAAATGCATCATACCATCAACCAATGTCACCATCAGTCATATTCAGCAGCACATATCATCAACAGCTAATGCGGAAACTGTACACCAAGCGCATATCACCACAGTGTGAATGGGTAGTGCTAATGCTGATATAAGCTGATCATTTGTGTCATCATTTTTGTCATTTGTGAGAACGCGGACATACAGTTTTGAACAATCTTTTGAAAAATGGATGTCATATATTGGTAAATTGAAACTACTCGAATTAAATAGTTAATTAATCAAGCAGCAAATATTTATCACCATTGGACTTCTTTCATAGTTTATCAAATAATTATAATAATAAAAATTAAAGTAGAATGAAAATTAAAATTAAAATTGATAGCATTGAAGCAAAAATAATTTAACATCAAAAATATTGTTAACAACAAATTTAAATTCCATTCAACAACGAAATATTATCAAATTTTATGAAAGCAAGAGATTAATTTTCCAATGTTTATCGCTTGTTTTGCTTTCTTGCGTAATCGCTTAAACCATAATTAATTCTTGTAATTAGTTGAGTTCAAATTTATTTAAATTCATTCAATAATTTAAACAATTAGCATATCAATGTATATAACTGGAACAGAAATATCGTTCAAACGATTTTGCAGTGGTTATTGGTCCTTTAAATATCTTTTAACTACTTCTTTTCCACAAAAATTATTTGCTGTTTTTTGAAAAAAATCATGATTTTATTAGTTGATAAACTGATGATGAATAAATTTTTATCAATAAATTCAAATGAAAATTCAATTGCTTATTTGATTTGACGAGATTTTGCAAATTATTTCTGAAGTTAAAAACACTAATGCAAAACATTGGAAAAATAACAAAATCTATAGGTTTAGTAAAATTTTTAGATGTAAAGTTTTTTTTTTGTAATTATGACTAATTTGTAATGCTAAAGTAATCATAATGATGATTATTATTTACAACAGTTCTTTTTCCCTTTTTTTTTTTTACCTCTCCTTTAATGTTATCATTGTAATGATGCTAATTTATTAAAATTGAAACGTATGAAAGGGTGAAATTACCATTGTAATGATACTAATTTATTAAAATTGAAAGGTATGAAAGGGTGAAAAAAAAAACGAAAAGTAAAATATTTTCGAGAACAATTACGATTAGATTTGGGAACGAAGATGATAAAAAGTTGGGAAAGTGACAATTTTTGATAAACGACCAAAATAGGATAATTTTTGGCAAATGAAAGATTTGTTACTTTTTTTTTTTCGAAAAATGAAACAAGTTTAAATATGTTTGTATGCACTGTAAATGTTATTACTGTGTTAATTTGTTTTGTTAATAATTCGGCTTCTTTCCTTTTTTTTTTTTCATTTTATATAGAAAAGAATAGAATTTGGTTAATTTATTATTATTTATTAAAATTGGTATTTATTACTATTTATTAAAATTGGTGCAAAAAAAAGAAGAAAAATTGAAATATCTTAAATAACCTTTTTTTAAAAACAATTTTTACAATTTATTTTAATGTAATTGAAATAAATATTCCCTTAGTTATTTTTTTTTTATATCAAATTTTTATCATATATTTTTTATATATTTTGTCATATATAAATATCATAAAAATTCATATCAATTTTTTATATCAAAAAACTAGAAACATAGAGAAAATTAATTTAAATATGTTAAATTTCTTGGAAAAGTTGTTAAATCAAATCTATGCATTATTAAAATAATAATTTGATTGCAATTTTATTTCATGAATAAATATAAACATTATTGTTACTCAAAATATTAATTGATTTGCTTCATTTACGGTTGAGTTAATTCATTTGTATTCGTATTTAAACTAATAATAATAATTCATATTTTAATTTGTTCCATCGTTCTTCCTATGAAATTAAATTTAATACTAGCGAAAATAAATTATTTGATGGAATTATTTTTGATTATATTGAAAGAACTGATACTGTACAGAGAAAAATAGCAAACAGATTTAAAATAACAATTAAAAAAATAACAGTTTTATTTATTTATTTATATAACTGAATATGCGCTTTCGTTCCATGTTCTGAACACATTTACTTAATTAATCATATTATTTATTCATCTAATTAATTAAGTGATATTTAAGCAATGAGAATGTCCAATGTTCAGGTGCATTGTAATAATGAAGGTTGTTATCTAAGGTTGTTACCACAAGGCATCGAATGAGAATTTGGATAATGTTTGCTAATCCTGATATGTTATCATAGTTATAGTAAGTTAGGTAAATCAAAAATAACTGCAATATAATCTATAACAATCATTCACTCACCTGTGGTTAGTTTATTTGATGCATTAAAATTTTACAATTTATTTAATCTGTTACAAAATATCATCCATCCATTTTATCTATTATATCTTTTATGTGACCATATTTGCATAATTAATTACATTATTTATTTATGTTTAGTTTTACTTAATTAATTATACTGCTTATTTATAAAAATTTACTTTTACTTAATTAATTATATTACATATTGATTATATTTTGCTTAATGTAACTTTCATTTGATTTAAATTTTTCTATCATTTCAATCATATTGTTGAGTATATTTTCGTTCCACGTTCTGAACACATTATCATTCTTCCTTTTATCTTCTTCACGATCTTTTTGAACATTTAAATCTTAATCAAATTTTATTGCATAACTAAATCAATACATATTTTTGATATATAAGTTTATGTATTTATGCGCAAGATTGATATTTCATGTATCTGTTATCAATTATCTGAATGTTATCTAATGTTATCAATTATCTGAATGTTATCTAACATTATCTATTATCTGAATGTTATCTATCTAATGTTATTGATTATCTGAAATTTTACGTTATCTTTCATATTCATATTACCTAATGTCTTCATTAAAAATATTCCACATAATAAGATATCACATAATATTCCATTCATTTATCATTCAACGAAGGTATAAAATAAACAGCTCAAAAGATTCGAATAAAAAATTGTGGATGAATTTTTTTTTCGTATATTTTAAATTTGAACAGATTGTTTCATTAAAAATCATACAAGTTAGTATGATAGAATTCGATAATGTACTTAATTGTTAGAATTATAATTACAATGGACTTAATTTGATGTATTTAATATACCTAGGTTAAAGGTATATTTAATTTAATTAGGTGTAATTAATATACTTAGGTGTACTTAATGCACCTAAGTTGAGTTAGCTTAATTTTAATATCGAATCATAATATACCATATTGTATTTAGATTAAAATCAATGTAATATTTGACAATAATTCTATTCATTAATAATTTATATTATCAATTCCATACTTAATGACTGATACCCTATGAAAAATATTACAGCTTCATTGCTATTTATGATAATTACGTTTTTTTTTTTCAATACTTGATTACTTGTAATTATGAACAACAATTTATGAAATGATTATTTCATCTCATCAATCAATAATGATCAAAGTACGCAGTCATTTTCCAATAATTAAATTATATCTTTTTGTAAATATTATATATGAATATGACAGTATTAAATTTAAAAATTTGAAGATCTTAAGAGGTAAATTGTTTTTATAATTAAAAAGTAAATTTGCATAATTATTCATTCCTCATAAACTTTAATTTCAAGCTAAACTTTAATTAGAGCTTTTGCTAACTGTGTAATTTAAATTCCTGAATTTTACGAAATCATTCATTAATAATATAACTTGTGCAATTTAATCTTTCATTAATAATATAAGTGATAGTGATGATAAAATTTCAGGATAATGTATTTCAAATTTTGGGTAATTACTGTAGTTATTGCAATTATATTTCATGGAATATTTTGTTCGAAAATATGTTCCTGTTCAAAAAAAAATCAAAAAAACGATAACGAAAAGAAGACAAATGGTAAAAGTGAGGGGCATGGTCAAAACGAAAGTTATAATGAATTACAATCAAAAGTCTGTCCACCTCCATCTCATTGTCCGACAGTAAAATGTCCAAAAGAAAAATACTCGAAATTAACTCCATATCATACATTAAAAACATTACGCCTATTCAGAAAGCCGTGTCCACCATCAAATTGTTCAGTACTTAAATGTCCACGGCTATCACCACCATGTCGTCGAAAGGTTTGTCCAACATTATAGACTGAAAAGATTTTGTGCACAACAATTATCATTATGCTTCCAAAAAGTTTGTTCATTGCTTGCCACTAAACCGCGAAACTATAATTTGGTCAATATTCTCGCCATCATAGTCAACATATTCAGGAAAGCTTTGTCAACCATTTTTACCTCTTTGACAATCGATAAGTTAACAATTAGGCGAAGAATTAAACAGACATGGTAGTTATAGTTTGAAAAATGAACGCGAAAAACGAGGAAAAGTGAAACAGTAAAAAAATGATAAGACTTAATTTGAGACTTAGTAAAAGGTGGCAAGACGTAATTTGAGATCTGGTAAAAAAGTGATAAGACTTAATTTAAGACTTAGCAAGAAAGTGATAAGATTTCATTTTAGATTTAGTAAAAAAGTGATGACCTAATTTAAGACTTCATAAAAAAAATGATAAGATTTAATTTACATAAACAAATGAATTAATTTATCCGAAAATTTCCATCAAATCGTATTGAATATTACTACGCATTAATACATGTTAAAACTTTTTTTGTGCAATATTGAAATATTCAAATTTCTTGTTCCTTATTTCTTTCCCGCGATTTATTGATATTGTAATTAAGCAAAACTCAAGGAAAAAAAGGAAATTGAATTTTTTTTTTTTTTTGGTTTATACTTTTTGTTATCATATTGTGAGAAAACAAGAAAAAAAAAATTACTTGTATTTCAGATTATCATTAACTTATCAGAATTATTACC